TAGGAGAGCATAGTGTCTATCAATAATCTTACACACTGACCGTTTTTGAAATGTAAAAACGTATATATGGAAATATTTAAACTATGGGTTAATTTTTTATTATATATTTTTAAATATTAAAAGTATAAATTGAATGACTTTACATACAGAATCACAGAAAATAAGGGTTGAACCAATTCCGAGAAAAAAACCACAGCAACAACAATAACACCGTAGAAAACAACAACAAAAAGTATGCATAAAATTAATCAACACCTTCTACGAAAGCGTCCTTGGTACGTCTCCGGAAAAGTGGAAATTAGATATAGTATTCACATCTGAAAGGTATTATAGTGTGCATTATCTTTCGAATCCGCCATAATTACAAAAAAAAGCAAAATAAAATATATATACTTTAGCAATTTTATACTAACACATGGAACCTATGATTTTCAAACGAGACCCAAAACTAGAGCGCTTTCGAACAGTTTACTATTCTTCTTTATTCTCCTGAAGAAAAATAGTGAACTATACGAGCGCTCTAGTTTTGGGTCTCGTTTGAAAATATTACAACTTTTGTATGTGACCCTGTGTTATAGCTTCTTACATACAACCTATTATGGTATCCCGTGCTTTGCTGCTGATTTAACTGTTTGAAATGACTTACAAGGTTGTTTTCTAAACCCACGGCAGAGTATATAATCCATTTAAGTTTAGTAGTACTTTGTATATTACGTGATAAATCAGCAATAGACAATTTTGTACTTGTAATATTCACGGCTGTCAACTTATTTAAGTGAAAGTCGAACATTTCCTAAGGATCAACAAAATACATAAAAATGAGACAATTTTAGAGTAAGTCTGCAAAGTGAAGTCTTGAATACTTTTAATGATGAGTAAGCTATTAAATAAGCGGTACAATGTGTATATATCAGTTGTTTTCTTCTTACTGGAGAGTACAGAAAACAATTAAACCTTTCAAAAATTACAAGGTGCTAAGCTGTACAAGTCAGGATAACTTTAGCGATAATTAATACCGTTCAATGAGGGAAAGGTATTTAACTATGATGAACAAGCAGCGTAAAAATGATGCATTGCACATTCGTTTTCCCCCCCCCCACTTCCCGAGAGCCTGTACTTATAATTACGGGCTTTGAATCCGTTTGATAAGAGATCGAGAAGCTTGCCATGAGGGTCTGAACACACAAAGGACAATTCCAGTGTTCTTCAACAAGGTCAGAGTACAGGATAAGTCAACTAAATCAGTGAAAGAATTCTCAATTAAAGGACAACAAACAACACTACAAACATTAGCTGCAGCTGACACCGTATCATTAAGTTATTTATTTTTCATTACGAAAACGCCCAGTAAAATATCCTAGCCAATAAGAAGTTCCAAAAGAACTGTAAGAGGTTGCCGTTCACTCAAGTTGTAAAGATTAATCGGCAACACAGAACTTCTAGGTTAATATTTCATTCAGGTAAGTACTTCACGCCGCTAGGGAAGGGGTGATACCAGTAAACATCACTAAAGTGTGTTTTCAGCAGACCGAAATGATGATTTAAAGGGATTAAACAAACAACTTTGAGGAAGTAAACGATTTTCAATCGCTGTAGAACATTTGATATTGCATAACCTTCTAGAAATGTTTATGTTTTCTCAATACGTTGAATGGGTAAATATCTGAAAAAAGTTCGTTAAAAACAGAAATTCTAAAGTTTCATATATAGCTGCTGCTCTGTTTGCCAATATTTGTAGCCAAGAATTTTGCCATTAATTGTATATTCGTATGTACGGAAAAATTGACGAATTCTTTACTATAATTTAAACAACATTTAACATTATAACCACTAATCACTCAAAAGAAAAAGCTATCTCACCAACACGTGTACATGTTATGTAAATATGCTGTAATGCAATATTATTACACAGAAATCCTTTCCTTACTTTCACGTAACGTCGGTCCCTTTTGTTTTTTAAAATAATTGTTTGTTTGTTTTTGAATTTCGCACAAAGCTACACGAGGGCTATCTGCGCTAGCCGTCCCTAATTTACTAGTGTAAGACTAGAGGGAAGGCAGCTAGTCATCACCACCCACCGCCAACTCTTGGGCTACTCTTTTACCAACGGATAGTGGGATTGACCGTCACATTATAACGCCCCCACGGCTGAAAGGGCGAGCATGTTTGGTGGGTCGGGGATTCGAACCCGCGACCCGCAGATTGCGAGTCGAGCGTCCTAACCACCTGGCCATGCCGGGCCATTTTTTTTTTTTTTAAATAAATGAATCCTTACTATTGGGCATTTTGACATTAATTATGGAAAACCATTTCAGGATTTTCTACTGAAGTTTACTTAGTTTGTATTTAACCAAAGCAATTGAAAAGTATGCCCTGTTGTTTGGCTTTTGTATGTAAAAACTGCCTAACGGGACTGCATAAAATGGTGACCTCTGAAATCAGCGTTATCCCCGTTTTTTATTCTATTAGTGTTGCCCCCCCCCAGAGGCACAGCGGTATGTCTGCGGACTTACAACGCTAGAAACCGGGTTTCGATACCCGTGGTGGGCAGAGCACAGATAGCCCATTGTGTAGCTTTGTGCTTAATTCCAAACAAACAATCTATTACTGTTACTATGTAGTCATTACACGTCTGGTTTATGATTCCTGCATTTTTAACTACTAAGTTAAATTCGATATGTTAAGAATCCCCGAGGTTTTATAACAAATATATTTGCTAATAGCTTGATTCTGAGGCTGTCTCTGACTGCGGTAGAGGCTATCTCTATACTGAACTATATATATATATATATCCTGGCATTCTCTGTACATCCCAAGCATGCAGCCACATAGCAAATTTAACACAACAGTTGAAATGATCTGTTTGTGTGAGACAACGATAAGCTGTTCTGATAGCCCACTGACAACGATGTTAAGAAGGGCCACTCACTGTCTTCTCTGAGCGTTGGACCGTTTAAGGGATAAAATATTCATTGAATACTAAATATTTTTCCCTCTAACAAATTTATGATACGGTGCATGAAACCTTAAATAAACTTAATCATATTTCAGAATATTAATATTTAAAATGTCAAGAAAAGGTTTAGCACTGCATCCAACCTGACCGAAAGGGGCTACATGTTACAGATCATTTTTAATATAGTTACATGAGAATAAAGAAGATTCCGGTTTGGATTTAAAAATATCTTACTTGTATTAGAAATATCGGAACATCATAGTACTTTTACCCATTTAAACCAACCAATCTTAAATATAAAATAACTTAAATTCGATGACGAGGAACCCACTTTGAGACTAATAATGCTTGGAGACGGCTTGAATGGGTAATGAAGAAAAACTGGATGATGACAAAACCTTGTAGAAACGTGTACGTTTACTGTTATGTTAAACTTATGTTAAAATAACTTAGTAACTAGATAACTAAAATAACTCACTGAAGCCCGCATTTTTCGTATACAGAGAGAAAAAATTCGATTCAAGAAATGAAAACCGCTGGACATAAGAAATACACACAAAACAAAATATTACATTTTAGACCCGTATCTAAAGTGGTAGTTGAATGTAAATGTACCCAAGAAATGTCAAATTTAACGACTGATGCAACATTACTAAAATGCAATGTAAGGAAACGTGTTTCCGGAAGACACCACGTGACTATAAGTTGGCGCCTTTCGGGACAGAGGAAATGTTTGTTGTTGAACACGGTCACCCTTCAACTTTAATAAAAGCTGATGCAGATCTCGAGCAACGTTTAATTGTCTATGAACGTTAAAGAGTGAAATGTACTAGTTAAACACGTAATCTTGTCCATTTTGTTCTAAGGATTATGTAAGTATTTTGATCACTAGTATTTGTCTAAAACACATTTAAAATATTTGTGGATATGATGATATTACTATTTTGTTATAAAAGAAAATAATAAATATAAATCAAAGCAAAGAATGGTCCTGAAAATTAAAGTTACTCAATTTTATTATTCTTTCTTCAATCTCCCAAACATCATCTATTGGATCTTATACAACAGCGCCCTCTTTTAATAATATGTATGTAGTAATATAATAATATGGACATATACTGGATCGACTTGTATTTAGGTATTGTCGCATTGAAAGGAGTTTTTAAATATAAAAACTTCAACCGCTGTATATCTATAGTGTACTCTATTTAAACTTGTAAACATTTATATCAAGTATGTAACGCCTATGTCTAAAATATTATGTTATCCGAACGTTAAAACCTTAATGTAAACAGTGTAATAAATAATTTACATACTAACTTCATAAAAAGATGTTTCTTTTATGGTACTTTAATGAACGCACTATACAAATCTAACATAACATAAACGTATCTAATTTTAAAGACATATTTCCTGTTAACTGAAGTAAATTCAAATACTACGACAGCAGATTTGAATAAAAGAATCTTGTTTTGTCATATCTGTCCAAAACTCGTTCAGATATGAGATTTGCATTGTGTGAGATGCTTGCCATTGACCACCAATTAAATTTCACAAGCCTGGTGCCACTTATTTCTAAAATTCATGTCTTTATATAACAGTTAACCAGACTGAAAAAGGAGCATATGATTGTTATTGTTTGTAGTTAAGCACAAAGCTACACAAAGGGCTATCTGTGTTCTGCCCACCACGGGTATCGAAACCCGGTTTCTAGCGTTGTAAGTCCGCAGACATACCGCTGTGCCACTGGGGGGCGAGCATATGATACTCGAAGGTTCAATAACAATATTTGTTTTTGCCTTGTAATGAAGTTTCAGAATCCCCAAATTAACCACCTCTGTCTGATATTATTCAAGTAAGCAATCAGTTTTTATACATTCAAGGCCCCCTTGTGGCTCAGCAGTAAAACTGGGGACTAAAAATCGTAGTGTAGTTTTGCGCTTGACAACAAACAAGCAATACCCAATGAATTAGACCGAGCAATTAATTTAGTGCTAAGTTTTTAGAAATTAAGTGTTGAATGTTTTATATGGCAAGTACTCACCAGACGTCGCTTAGGCTTAATAAGAGGCCTGTTCTGTCCGTTCATTTTGTGGTAGAGACCGCAGGCGTTACAGAGGTAGTGGCCGGTGCCATCTCGGCGCCACAAAGGTGTAGAGGTTGCTCCGCAGTTGACACACTCTCGACCCTCTGGTGGGTTAGAAGAGAAATAATCAAATTTACTCTGTAACTTTAATTTCTACTTTATTACATACATTTTTATATCCGTGCAATATAACCTTACTTAACTCATATATTCAAGTGTAACCATACTTGCGACCATTGGTCAACAAAGTTTTAATGATACATAAGATATTCGTCCATTCTGCATATAAAATATCATAATGAGACTATCCAGTTCTTTAATAAATTCTGTTAACAAGTCTTACGAATATGCATTAGTTCCGTTGTAGTTTCACTAAAACGGGAAGTATATTCTGCTTAAACAAGAAAACACGATAACTCCACGCACATGTTTAGAAGTTAAATTACAATACATAATGAAACAGTTGCAAACCAAATTAAGAAATATGAAACAACTTCGATATCCTATTAATAATAATAATAAACAACGTTGCATAAGCTATCTAATACGCATACAGAAGTCGATTGTAAAAAATATGGTGGAGTATATACTTGTTAGTGCTTGCTAAAGAAAAATATTATAATGTTGGATTGTTTTCATTCGTACTTTTTAAAGCTAATTGTAATATAGAATATGTGGTGTGGAACAAGGAAGAGAGCGTTATAGATATTCCATCCAAAACATCGCATTCCACGCTTTATAGAGGTTAAGAACCCAATGATGTGATGTCGACTGGTGCAGAAAGTTTCTTTTTTTTTTACAGGAAACGATGGATAACCGCAGTTTCGTGGTAACCTTGCCTAAAGAGATTGTCCAGTACATGAGTAAATGATGTAATTTCCGAAATGTTTCCTAAACTGTTTTTGACAATGAACCTCAGTAACGAGGATTTTTCATAGTCCGAGTGTCTAATCGACGACTGAATGACGCTTCCGGCACGTGCATGCTGACATTCCGGACACAACTAATTTAAAGACCTGGTTTTCTTAGCCCAAACATTTTAAGTTGAAGAACTTATGTCCGGTTGTGAAGGGCACGTAATCAGAAAAAAAACCCGGATGTCCTGAGTTTAAGCACATGCATCTACACTCTTTTTAAAAGAACTAAATTTATAAGGCGCCTTTATGGAACGTCAATAGCAGTACATCGAAAGAACGATAAAATATTTGAGGCATTTTTAAGAAAAATGTGCTAACAAGAAGGAGAAGAATGGTAGTCGCTCACGAGAACAATCGTTAAGTTCGTGCACGTCAAACTTTTATGCAACCAACCACTGTTGAAGTAAAGACGCCAAATTCAACTAAGTAAAAAGATAAATTTGGGTATATGAAAATCTTAGGACCTATTCAAAAATTGTATTTAACAACTTAATTAATATTTGCATTCTTTGAAACCTTTACTTGCTTCTTATCTAATCTTAGGATACTGATAGTTAGTTATTAGCTTCCCAAACAACGGACACGATTGATGATCGTTATTTCGTTAGGGGTTTATGAAATTTACGTTCCAATCTCTTTATTTCTAATCCGCTTTTCATGCATTGTGTAACTAGCATTAGGCAGGATTAGCAAGTACCACGGTTAACAAACATATAATCCTAAACTTGGCTTGAGTACCGTAACGATTGTGTTCAAGGTGTTACACGTCGGATAAAATGACGGTTTACTCGGCTTAAAATTATGTATAACATGTAAGATATCTAACCTGCATACTGGCAGACAGGGTTGAGTCCTAACTTCCATCGGTAGCAAGTACCTGCCAGTGATAACAAATAAAATCTCAGTGATCGACTACTACTGCCTGGTACCATGGTGACAACAAATAACTGAGTGATCGACTTTTGTTGTCTGGCACCAAATATGCTACTGTGAAGTTATTGTAATATTTGATAAATTAATTTCATTTTAAATTTGTTCACATGAGTATTGGACTTATTAATAACATTGCAAATTACTAGAAGTAATATATAAATGAACGACCGGAAACTAGTTACTTTTTAGTTTTAGTTGACATTGAAATGATTGAGACATTGTATTACATAATTGGACTGAATACATGCAAAGAACGTTTTAATATATTATTATATAGATTTATAATATAAAAAAAGAGCCTGTTCTATCCCACATATTTTTAATTTTTGAAATGTTGGACGTTCCTTCAAAATGTGCTTGAGGTCAGATACAAGGTCTTATACCTGTAGTTAAAATGTTCAAAGTTAAACGCCGAAACTATGATTACAATTTCAATTGTATTACCTCCACTGTGAATATCAGCAAACCACGTTTTGTTTTCCAATTACAGAAAACGACTAAGTGTGAGCTAAGACAAATGCAAGGTGTTGTGTTTTTCGTGAGTCACTTTACAACGCAGTTTTATCAGAAAACACATGCGCGTACACATTTAAAAATAGTTATGTTGCAAAAAATTTTAACCTGCATGTCTGACTCATCTTTAATTACCAAATAATTTCTTAGTATATGCCTAAATATTCCATATTTATCGTCTAAATACAAAAACAAACATTTATATGGTAATAAAAAGCAAATGATTTTAAAACAAGCCAACTATACTGATATTAATCTTCTATTGACAATTACTGTACATTCATTTTGTAGTTGATCATGATGATAGATATATATACCATTACAAAAAAACTATAAGACTAGACGAATACATTTGAAATACTGATAAAATAGAATTTTAATTTATTAATATTAATAACATTAATAATTCCACTAATTAATATAACTCTTCATATTAATTGAAAGCACATGAAAGGTTATTAAAATGACGGTGCAAGAGGAATATGATGTGACTCTGAGGTACTCAGACAAGGACTGCTAATTCACGAATACTCTGGAACGTGTATTATTCCAAAAGTTCAAACAGGTTGGCTTCACTCGAACAATTAAATAATGCCTTTATAAAAGGACTGCATGCTTTGAGTCTATGCACGATATTCAGCTGTTGGGTAAATGACAACACCAAAACGGCCAGAATGGTGCACGCATCACTTTCCTAGAGGTCGCTGTTCAGCTTATCCAAAAGGTTACAAATGCTTGACCCGCATTGCTAGTTCACTGATAGTCGTAGTTGAAACGGTATAATTATTGTTCTGCGCAGAAGCCGTTGTGGCTTTGGAATTCTAAACGGTTTGCAAGCCTTTATTTAGCTGTCTTGAAAAGAGAGTATAAAGTTAGTGATTAAACCCTCCATGTATTGACATCATGAAAGTGACATGGTTACCTAGCAGTTACATGTAAAAGAAATAACGAAACTTATCCAACATAATGATAATCAAGACGAAAGGAGTAGTTAGAACCAATTACGTCTTTGTAATCGTTATTCATTGTTGGAAGGTTTTATTTGTTTTGGATGCGCCTATAATTAAATATACTTGATAACTTAATTAGATAGTAAAATAAACCTATCTTAAATTCAATAAGTAATGTAAGCTGAATATTCAATCTAACGTTTATTATCGGTTGCCATGGAACAACCAACCGTTTGGCAAACACTCTATGATTTTTTGCTAATCTCCTTCATGTAACGCAAAGTTGTGATACAATTCAAAATTGGTCGCCGAACGTCAGCCTCGAATTGAGCAAAGAATACTTGAAGATTGAGTTATTCGAGCGTTTTACTCCTTAATTTAGAAATATGATATATATATATATATATATTCATCAGATTAAGTACTCCCAAAAACTCTTCTTTAAGCTACATGATTCAAATAGCAAATAGCTCCCACGCTGTTGATCATCAAACTTAAAGTTCTTAAGAGGTGTCGTGAACTAAGTGTATGAAGTTTCCCCCCAGATACAAAAAGCAAGTTATCCCACCGAGCCTGAAACAGCGAGACGACTGAAATAGTACGGTCGTACTAAACTATTTCATGTGGAGTTTTGCCAGCTTTCTTGCTACGCTACAGAATTGCCTTAGAAAATGTTTATGCTTATAGGAGGCGGGTTATGGAAATTATCATGCTTTCATCCCCTTGTCGCATCTGCATCATCAAAATCCCATTTGGCACCTGTTTCTCGATTCTTTTTCTGGTTGAAAATATTGTAAAGCTGTTGCTTGTCTGAGAGTTAGCAGATACATGCCTGAAACAGTCATTCAAACGAGAAACGTTTCGAATGCAACGTACAAGGGTAACCACATTCAATCAGTAACTAATTATGTCATTGTTTTCCGTTAAATAGTCAGATAAAGTCACAGTGTTTGGGATCGTATTCTTGATATTTATTGGTATACTGCGATGCAAAGTAATTTGTCCTCCATTGGTTCAGAAGTAAGTCTGCAGATTTATGATGCTAAAAATCGGGGTTCGATACCTTTGGTGGGCAGAGCACAGAGAGCCCGTCGTGTAGCTTTGTGCTTAACAGCAAACAAACCAAAATACACAATTTGTCAAGTAATAAAACCAGAATACTTTTTAAAGCACTAACGTTACATGCACAAACCTGTGTATTGCCAGGTTGAAGTTAGTGTTTATGTTTAACCAAGATTTTTCACTGGCGCTTACTTGAAGAAATTGTCACTATGGTACATCGGGAAGTGTATAAAAACAGAAGGGTCAGGGGAATAATACCCATCTGCTACTTTTATATATCTGTGCACACATTTTCCTTCAAGGTCTTCGTTCATACAAACACCATAATAATTAACACACCAAAAGATGCGAATTAATAAAGTATAGCATTTTAACTATAAAAGTGAATTCAATTGAAAACTACTAATCCCATTCCGACTGCTCAATTCAAGTTAAATTAATATAAAAGAAATACTTAGTATGAACATAAAAGCTTGAGTAGAAACTATATTTTAATAAAAGCCATTGCACAAGTTAAGTCTCCTTAAAAGTTTTGTAGGTCACAGATATAATCTCTTTAAAGTTTACCTAATGCATCATATTAAACGAAAACAGATAAACAGGACAGGTTTTGAATCGCCTGTTTAGTGCATTGCAAGCTTGAGCTAAGATCTTATGGAGTTAAACAAGTAGGTGCCAGAACTCAAGGTAAAAATGAACATGTCAACCAGTAGAGCTTTGTCAACTGAA